GCGCGCTGTCATTCGAGCGCACAGCGCAGTGCGCACCGCCCTGCTCCGCACTGCGCACTTGTGCGCTGCAACTATGCCTCAGATACATCCGCTGCTTTTCTGGAAAGTGCTACGTCACAGTGAAGCTGTGGACTTGGAACCGTTGGCAAGCATTGAATGCTCCCCGTGAGACAGCAGAAGCACAAACAGCCGAGATACTGCTTCCAAAAAAAATCAAAAAAAAAAAAACAAAAAAAAAAACAAAGGGTAAAAGAGATACCAAGCTCTGAACGTGATTGCCCTCAGATTCATCCACTGTGCCCACAAGTACAGCCGGATACATTCTAAAAAGTGCTAACGTTACAGGGCTGGCGGGCACTCATGAAAAAACAGTTTCCTTCCAAAAAAAAAAAAAAAGAAAGAAAAGCAACAATCTGTTTTTTTTTTTTTTTCCTTCTCGTGTTGCAGTTCCTTTTCTTTTCTCTGTTCCCCCTCGTCGCCTCCAGCCTCCTCTCGTTTCCACATAGCACAGCACCAGGACATCTTACAGTCCATTTGCCCCGTTTTTGTGGGCCCACGCACGTCCTCCATTGCACTGTCGGGCCTTCCCCGAACCTCGAAAACTGCGGCGCGTTAACGGGGAAGGCCCGCGGCCCATGTATGGGCCAAGTACTGGTGGTTTAAAGCGCTCTGTATGTGGCTACTGCTGTAAAGGGCTCTTTATGTGCCTGTGTATTGGCGCAAAGGATACTGGGTGTTTATGCATCAGGGCTAAACTTCTGGCCTGCCCATGATAAGAACGCTCACAAAAGAAAAAAAAAGAACTCATGAGTAGTTGGTTACCTGATGATTACTCATTGGAAGGGATGCTGGACCCATTTTCCAGCAGGTCCAGATTCCCACCAATCGAACGGAACCATCCCACTAGGTGGCTGTCTCACCGCCCCTGGATAGAGGAGCTGTGAAAAAAGGGATAATTCGCAAAATACCCCCATAAGTTGAGATAAATGCCTTTTGGGCTGAAATCTTTGTGTTATGCCCCTATCAGGCCGGTGTGCAAATTTGCAATCTGGACCTTGCCCTCTGGGCCTTCGTGTTTTGCAATCGGGAGTTGGAAAAGTTGGGAAGTGCCGGGGCATTTTGCAAAGCTTGACGGTACCCAATAGTGGTATGTGGCAAAGATGGGGGTCCAACCGACTCCAGGGGTATTTCGGTAAATATTTTTTCCATTCGAGGGGGATTCCGGGGTGACTGTCAACGTGCTCATGATTAGAATGCGTGCACGGAATTTGAAATATCAGCATGGTAGGTTTCTCTTTCCCTCTCTCCTCTCTCTTGCTCTTGCTACTGTGCGAGCTCACAGCTATGGTGTCCAGCGCTGTTACCTACACTCGCTCGGCACTGTACATGCTCAAAAGATCTTCGCGCCCAGCAACACAGCAGTGCCTGAGTCTGTCACAATCGATGAAGAGGAGGTTCCCGATGCTGGCCTCGCTTTTGTGCTTGTGCGTCTGCCTCCCACGGCATCCCGGACTCTTCCTGCCGCCCCCTGCTGTGGCAGATGGAGATTCTCTGTCGTGGCCTTTCCCTGGGACTGATCTGCAAAGGGATTGGGACTGGACACGTGGTGACACCCTACCTATCGATTTCGAGGACCCTCTACTGTTCCTACCGGTCTTATCCCATCAGATCTCTACTTGTTCTGTACAGTACCTGCCGGAAAGTTCTACTTGGGCCCTAGGGTACAAAAGAAAATGGGACACGGTACCGGGGCCATACTGCAGCAGGACGTGAATCCTTTCAATGGATTTCCTGAAGGGCATGAATGCATTGTTTTCTTGTTTTCGGTCTCTGATAGTTTCAAAAAGTAGAATGAACTTGGAGACGAGTTGCGCCAGGGTCTCTCTTCTTGAGCACAAATATTGCCTGTGGGGCCCTTCTATCCATGATGTGAGCCTATCACCGGGTGACATCTTGCAGCCCCAGAGGATGAAGTGCCGCCTTTTGTAGTTGATTGGTATAGTTGCGCTTAGCCGAGCCTCTTGAGGGTGTCCTAATGCTCTGGCGAACCAAAATGGCGTGTACCGTGGATGCTGTGCTCCGACATCGCCACCCATTTCTGCCCTCCCTCCGTCCGGCTCTGCCGATCTTTGCCCGATTCAACCCATCTAAACTACACATGGTGAGAGGCAGTTGTATGTGTTGATGATGTGGCCCATTTATGGTCACACATTCGTCACTCTGGGTTGAAACCACCCACCAATACCCTGCCCAGCTACCCTGCATACACCTCAACCCAGTGCTGCACATTGGTTAGGTCTACCGGAGGTGGGCGATCCCATGGAGGGGCCACAATATTTCGACTTTCCCAGCCGCCACAATTTTTTGCTCTCATGTCCAATTGCAAGGAACATGAATACGGACGAAGCACAGAAATCCAGAATGCAAAATCACACTGAAGTCCAAGTAGTCAAAGCCAAAGCGGATAGCACATGGAACCGAGTAACCATCCCATTGAGAATGACACAGAAGAATTGTGAGTCAATGTCCATGCCCAACAGGGCAACACCAACAGCATAACCCAAATGTACCTCTCTCTTGTGAATGGCGCCAGGCGCCCTATCTACTCTACAGCCTAGCCTACAACTACAGCAATGAAAGCAACCAGACAACTTGACTACCAGCGAGTGATGATGTCAACACCAATGCCGACCTCCACCTCTACCAGGTACGTGTCCTCTTCACCCACACTCTCCCTTGCACCCACACAGCGCCCTTCACTTCGAAGAACCACCTTCGCCCTTCACCCCTCTGCGCCCTCTGCAGCCCGGCTATGGCCGCCAAGCGCCCTGTATGCGGGCAGCGCCCTACCGCCTAGCGCTAGCCTGCGTCCCTCAGCCTTAGCGCAGCGCAGCATGCATGCAACGCAGCAGCGTGCCGGCCTTGCTTGCAATGGCCAAGATCCCTGCCCACTCGCCCTGCTTGCCTATATGCCAGTGCAGCGTGTGGGCGGCCTCCCTTCAGCCTGTGACCGGGACCCAGAGGCTGAATCCAGCCCGATACAGTTGGGCCCCGGGGCAATGCAGTTGCGCCTCCTTCATCAAGGCCTGCRGCCAGATTCAGATAGTGGGCCGATTTCCCTATGGCRTTGTCGGCCTCACGTTAGAGTGCCCAGGGCCTAACTAACTCAGAGGCCCTGGGCTTTCAGCATTTGCTGAAATCCRAGACTCGGTGCACTCCAACCAACTGGCGTGCTGCAACTGTATGGACCCCAYTTCRTGAAATGTTGGCACAGAGGGCTCTTGTTGATTTGCTGGCCCGCCTTCACTTAGGGCGGGCACGAGGCTTGCTGGGGCCTTAGCCCAGAACATGTACATCATGGCAAGGCCCCTACTTGAGGGCTCAATCCTCACATTCCATCCCCCTTAGCTTCGAAAGTCCGCTGAGATGCTTACTTCGCAGGTGCCTTCCCTTTCAGTAGCCTCTCATATTCTGCCACCACCTGAGGAGCTGTCTCAATCAGTTCCTCCCTGGTAAACCATCGATCTTCTTTCGGATCCGTATGATGCCTGAATCTGACGCTCTACTCTCTCTTGGGTTTAGGAGGTCTTCCTCGACCCAGCGGCTTCGGAACAGGCATATCCCTGTGATCCACAATGTCGTCGATGTCCACTTGTCCATCCATGGTTGGGGGCAGCATTGATCTCCTGGAAGGGAATTGATCTGTCTCAGCGAAAGGTGCAAGCTTTGAGGCATGAAAGACTGGGTGAGTGCGTAGGTGTCCAGGGACACGAATGACATATGAGGGGCCATCCATTTATCTCCCACTATATCCAAGACTTTCCAGGGACCAAAGTACTGAGGCATTAGTTTGCGAGAGATTCCGAACTCCTGTCCTAACTCACTAGCCTTGACCTAGACTCGTTCCCCTACTTGAAATGTGGACTGTCTGCGATGTTGATTCTCAGAAACAATCATTGCTTGCTGAGCTTTCTTCATATGCTCGACAGTCTCTTGCAACAACTTCTCATACTGCACACCATACTCTAGTGTGCCTGGAGTTGCAGCGGGTCGGTTTTCAGGTAGGAGGAAGTCTAGTGCTGATCTAGGCTTCCATCCCAAGTGTAACTGATTAGGACTAACGCCGGTACTACTATGGATAGCATTGTTGTACAGGCTGGCGACGAGAGGCGACTGCTCATCCCAATCATCTTGGTTGGGCTTGATGTAATGCCGCAACAAGTGTTGTACAACTCTGTTCATTTGTTCGGCTTGTCCGTTGGCTTCGGGATGATTCCCTGAAGTGATTTGAAGTTGACTGCCCATCTGTTCTGCAGTCTTCTTCCACAGTTCACTTGTGAATCGGACATCTCGGTCACTAATGATTGACTTTGGTAAACCAAAGTCACGCACCCAGTTGTCTTTGAAAAACTTGATGACGAAGTCAGTTCTTACGGTCTCTGGCATAGCCACTAGTCTAGCGTACTTGGTGAATCGGTCGATGATGACGAAGATGTGCCTCTTGCCACTCTTACTAGTCACCAGGGTGTCCATGAAATCCATGGAGACACTCTGTCCTGGACCAGCAGGGATAGGTAAAGGCTTCAACAACCCAAGCGGTGCTTGAGTTCGCGGCTTATCCCGCTGACAGACCTGACAGGTCTCTACGTACTTCTTTGCGTCATCAAACATACCAGGCCACCAAAATCGCTGTACTAAGTTAGCACTCGTCTTCTTGTAGCCAAAGTGCGCAGTTGCGTTATGGCATTCGCCTAAAAATAAACTACGCAAGGGTTCACTAGATGGAACTACTAACCTTTTTATTCCTGCCTTATCAAGATAGAGTAACCCGTCCACCATCACAAACTCACTTTTCGTGGCCTTGACTTTTGCCTGAAGCTTGCGAATGATGTCCATCGTGACAGGGTCTTCCTGATAGGCTCCCACTAATGATTGAGTTACTTCTTTAGATACGCCGAAGTCAGAAACTAGCGCACCTAGGTAGTTTGCTCTACGTGATAGCGCATCAGCAACCTTGTTATACTCTCCCTTCAGGTACTCAAGCTTGAAGTAATATTGATCTATGACCTCAATCCATCGCTTGAGTGCATCAGAAAGAGTCGGTTGAGTCTTGATCCATTTGAGGTTTTGAGGATCGGTCCTCAAGTAGAAGAACCTTCCTAAAAGGAAGTGTCTCCAATGGACAAGTGCTTTATACAGAGCATAGAGTTCCCTCTCGTAGGTGGACTTTGCCAACTTCTTTGATGGCATCTTCTTGCTCATGTGCTCAATCGGTCTCAACTTTTTCCCATCCTGCTGAGCCAGCACTGCGCCAATGCCGTATTGGCTTGCGTTAGTGGTCACTATGAATGGCTTCTGCGGAACGGGAACCATGAGAACCTCATGATTCATGAGTGCATGCTTCAATCTCTTGAAAGCACCCTTGCACTCATCACTCCAGTCCCACGGTGTGTCAAGTCGAGTTAGATCAGTCAAAGGAGAGGCGACTGTAGAATAGTTCTTTACGAAGTTCCTATAGTAGCCGCACATTCCTAAGAATGATCTGACCTCAGTGACTGTCTGAGGTCGTGGCCAGTCTCGAATACTAGCCACCTTCGCATCTTCCGACCTAATTCCCTCCGCGGATACTTCATGACCCAAGTATAGTATCTTAGTGCGACCAAATTCGCACTTCTCTAAGTTGACCTTATACTTGTGCTGTCGCAGGAGTGAGAGAACTGTCTCAACATGTTGTGCGTGCTCCTCGACATACTTACTAAAGATCAGAATGTCGTCAAGGTATACCACGACAAACTTATCTAAATGGTCATGGAAGATCCGATTCATAGCGTGCTGGAACGTACCCGGCGCATTACAAAGACCAAAGGGCATCACTACAAACTCATACAGACCATAACGAGTCTGAAAAGTTGTCTTGTGTTGGTCCTCAGGTCTTATTGCGATCTGGTGATATCCAGATTTCAAGTCTATCTTGCTATAGTACTTGCATCCCTGCACCCTATCCAATAGGTCGTCTATGCGCGGTAGAGGCTCTGCGTTTTTCACAGTGATGGCATTGAGGCCTCTATAATCAATGCACATCCTCAAAGTACCCCCCTTCTTCGGTACGAATAGCACGGGTGATCCGTAAGGGGAAGTACTAGGCCGAATCCAACCCTTCTCTGTCAGCTCCTTAAGCTGTCGCCGAAGTTCATCTAACTCGGCGGGGGCCATCCTATAGATCCTTCCCTTTGGAGTCTTACTCCCTGGAATGATTTCTATAGCGTGGACGACTTACCTTTCCACAACTCCTGTGGGCTGCTCGAACAGATCAGGGAACTTAGCAACGACGCGTTCTATCTCTGGGGGTGTTTTAACGGCCTCCTCTTTCCCTGAGACATAAACAAGGTACATACCCTCCTCTTGGTTCTGCTTATAGTAGTTGTAGAACGCTGATGCGCACAAGCAGCCATAGGTATCTATGATACTACTGGCCTTGAACTTAGTCAATCTGACCGTTCGGCCATCGGGCAACTTATGCTTGAGCTCCTTCTTATCCCAGTCGAACTGGGGCTTAGCAACTTCGAGGTAGTACATGCCTAACAACATTTCAAATGGCAAGTCGTCGCTAACCAAGAACGAGATCTTATGGTTAAGCTCACCTCCTCCATAGGAGAAGGTACAGACTACGTCCTTGATATAGTCTATTACAATCATGCGCTCCTTGTGGGCCAAAGTAGATGCTATTGGTCTACTAAGGTGCCGTACCCGGTCCTGTAGGTGCAGCCTTTCCAAACAGTTGCGACTTATGTAATTTTGCGTGGAGCCTATGTCTATGAAGGCACCACATTTGCGGCCTCCTACATCGACCTCCACCACGAAATGTTCCCCTCTAGGAACATTCATGGCAACTAAAAACTATACCAAGTCACTAGAATATGTGTGTCAAAAAGCCTAAGATGAGTTGCTAGAAGTCCCCAGAATCTTAAATCATTCTTAAGACCCCCATTGGCAACCAAAACCAACAAACCATGGATAAAGGAAMAACTCAGRAACATTCATGGCAACTACTCAAAACTCTACCAAGTCACTAGAATATGTGTGTCAAAAAGTCTCCCAACGACGAATCAGATAGGTGAAGCCTATTCAATCCACTTACAACCACCTCCAGCATGGTTGTTTTCAGCACGAACCGAAACTCTTCCAGGCCTCATGCTCCCATCAGGTTAGGTTACAGAGTTGCACCACCTTGCTCCAGCGCCGGCCAGCATTGCTCCAGTTACGACCCCCGAWGACCACTGAGACTGCCCCCGCAAACAGCCCCCCATATCAATTTACCAGGCCTCACGCCCCCACTAAGCAAGGTCACAGAGTTGCGCCACCTGGCTCCAGCTCCGGCCAGCGTGGCTCCAGCATCGGTCTTCGAGGGCCACCGATTTTCGACCACCCTTCGCAGGATCACAGATGAATTGCCAGATAGCCCTATTCCTACAACCTCCTYGAGAGGCAAACCAAATAGAAAGAAATGGAAAGAAATACTAAACTGGATGTTAGAATTCTTCGAGAGAGATCGCCCCTCCCTCCCCCTACCCCTCCCCCGTCAGTCCTACACTGCCTCCGCTGAGGCGAGTCACCCACTCTCCCTCGGCCCCAATATAGGACCAGCCCTCTACCCTTCTTCCCCCAGGAGCACGCAAGCGCCACCCAAGACTCACGAGGGTCCTTGTTTGACCACTCACTCTCCAAGTCCTCTAAGGCGTCAGACACATCTAACGTACAGAGCATAGTTTGGTCTAGTTGTGTCTGCGGGGTGACTAAGGGGTCATTAGCCTTGGCCTTGTCATGAAGTGGGGAGGGTATCAGTCCCACTTCATCTTGAGTAGAAGCAGCTATTACTTTCACTGGCCTCACGTGTTTCCCTAGCTAGAAGCCTGGGAATAAGTTGCCCCCATCTTTGGAGCAACCTTTTGTGTAACCTTAGTGTTCTGACACTTGTACTGCGAGTGTCCGTATTCCCCACAGTTGATACAAGCGCCACGCGTTCGGCAGTCACGCCGCACGTCTTGATCAAGACCTTCCTTAACCCACTCAACCTGTTTGGTCTGATTGGAGGCGGCCTTCCCTTTACCCCTTGATTGGTCTTTCCCTCGGCCACCGGCCTTAGCCTTTACTACTGCGGCGAGGGTGCTACCCTCAACTACCTCCTCGCTGTCATACTCTGAATAGTCCATCAGGTCAGAGAGTTCGTCAATCTCAGTTTGAGTCCCATCAGACTCAACCATCATCAACTTTGCTCCCTTCTTCTTCCACTCCTGAGGACTCTTCTTTTTCTTTGAGTCATTCTGTGAGGTGGGTTGAGCATTGCCTAGAGTGGCCTCCAAATCTAAAGCCTTCCTAGACAATGTCTCAAACGAATGATACTCTGTGCGTGCCTCGTTGGCCAGCAAGTTCCTGATGTTCTCTGGCAAACATCTAACAAACGTTGTTAACAGGAACTGGTCACTGTAGTTGATGCTTGGGACGAGGATCAGGCTCTCAACGGTAGTCGTAAGCTCTCTAACTGACCCGAACTTTCGTTGGTCGAGTTTGTTAATGGCATCAGTGGCCTTTTGTGCCTCCTGTGGATTATGCCATCGAGCTTCTACCATTTCCATGAACTAGTCTAACATTAGAGACTTAGCCCAGTCCGCCATGCGTCGCTCGTACCCGGCCTTTATCACTACACCATCTAACCATTTGGCTGCCTTACCTTCGAGGTAAGACGCCGCAGTTACCACTTCATCCTCCAGCAAGGTCCTCTGTGCCTTCACCCAAACCAGGACCGTTCTCAACCATGTGTTGAGTTCTTCGCCCTTTCCCTCACCTCAGAAGGCAAGGGGCGGTTTCATTGGGGTCTTAGGATACCATTGACCCTGCGGCTGTCCAGATTGCTGAACAGGTTGTTGCAGTGGTGTAGCTCCCACCGCTGGACCCGAAGAAGAAGATGCAACAGTCTGTGCGACTGCTGCAGACGTACTACTTGGCTGTGTACCAGCTTGAACTGGAAAGGGGCCTGACATCGCCGATAACGGCAACGACGATTGTGCTGGTGGCCTGAATCCTGGCCTTGTCAATGCGTCCAGGATCTGGTTTAGAGTGCTTTGCATGAAGTCTAATCTGCTGTCCACGTGCGCATGCAATGACAACATATTCTTCTTCAATACTTTCAGCGGGTCAGTCAATGCTGACTCATCCAAGCCCTCTAATTCAGCCTTGTCAGCCTCTAAATTATCAAGCCTGGCTGCTCTATTTTTTTTTTTCTCTCTCTCTCTATCGGTTGCCTTTTTTAGGTCCTCCTCTAACTTCAAGCGGAGCCTCTTGACCTGTTGGATCTCGCTGAGCTCCCTCTCACGTGGGGTCAACGGGCTGAACTGGGAGCCCGCCGTTTGACTAGAAGACTGTCTAGAACCCGTTGAATCGGAAGTGCCCGTGGAACTTGTGGAACTTATTGGCATTCCCAAATGAGTCCCATTAGTCCCTGACGAGGACACAGCCGATGACGCAGCAGAGCTTGCGCCGTTAGCCATCGCAGCTGCTTTGGCTGCTGTTGCCTGCTCTCTAGCTGCTGCGTTTGCTGCTGCTATCCCCGCTGCTAGCGCACGGGCTCTACGTAGCCGTCTTTCTTCTCCCTGTTCTAAGGCCTGAAACACGTGCGGTACCCTTAGTGCCCCTGCACGTGTTAGTCTCCTAATGTCAGCTGTATCATCAACAGGGTCTGACCCACTCATTAGTTAGGCAGATAGTATCTGCACTAGAATCCCCTAGTGGAATCCTACCGCAGCATGTATCTGACCGACACCTAATTTTCTAACAATAGTTGTGTCCGGCAAGTCCCTACTGTACTGATCACGTGGCATGTCTACAACATTCACACAGATTGTCTACATAGTCCAGATGTACTCTGATTGGTTCACTTACAGCAGTATTAGACAGAACTGGCTATGGTAGCATACAACAGTCCTAATCTAATCTGTCTGTGAGGTTAGCAGTCCGTCCACCAACTAATCAAGAGTACAAAATGACCATGTAGCAAATGTATGATTGATGGCTATGGTTGTGTTTTCAAATGAGCATCAACTGGAACCTACCCTTCCCCTCAATCCAACATACCGGACAACATCAATGAGCAAGCAGTGTCTTCGTGTGTATTTCGGCCCACTCCTGTGCCCAAGTCAGAGCCAAGTAAGCCAGCCAGCCCACTCTTATTTACCCTCGTACGGAAACGAGCCTTACACCCGGATGATCTGGCTGATCAGGAGGATTATTAAGAGCGCCCCCAT